CGTGTTACCCGCGGGTACGGGAAGGCTGAATTTAAATTTGCTGCGTCACTCGCTGGCGGGGAACACCACACCAAAATTTCAGCCGCCTAGCTTTTGTGGTTCCCGAGTTGAAAGTGTGGGACAAAATGTGGGAGACACACACACACACACAGACAACTCAGTGACAATATGCATTTTGTGGTGCTGTTACACAACACAAAACGTATAAAAATGAATCTTATAAATTTCCCAGAATCCATTCAAAGCCTTGTTTAACACTGTGCATGAAAGGCTGAAGTGCTTGGTAGTAGTCGGGAGTTTCACTTGCCCATGGAAACTGTTAAGATGATAAGGTTGCCGGCGGTTTGTTCTTCCCGAGTTACTTAGAAGCAATGTTATGAGAAATCGTTGACGTGTGCTAGTAACAATTTGCCAGTGCCGTGAATGAAAAGCATTGCTTATCTTGCTGACGTAGTCACATCCTTGCCTTTTGCACGAAAACAGGGCTATTTACCATTAAATCCTGTTTGCTAACCTCATAAACTGAAATCGAATAATGGCCTTGAACTGTTGAAAATATACAGTTGCATTAGAACTACTGCATTTCGTTACTGAAAGCCAAAAAGTATATTTAATTTCATTGGTGTGGGCGAATAAAGAGAGAGGGAGAAGGCCGGATTATTGTTGCCTTTTTACAGGCCATGCAGTAGATCTTTATTAACTTGTAATTTAACTTTTCCATTATTATATTATATATTTTCCAAGCTGTCAGTAGCGAGGCGAAAAAGGAAAGCACTTTATTATATATAGAATTGCCCCTCTAACACCGATGTTCTTTAAAGTTCGCTTTGGAAGCTACATTACTGATATAGCATTATCAGGAAGTGGTGATCAAGAGAAGGCAGTGCAGGCGAAATGATTAGCTGAAAAAAGGCATAACTGGATTTGGCATGTATTCGCATCCTGGACGCAAAAAGAACTTCAGAGAGCGAACTCAAGCGTTTTTGCTTGCACTTCTGTAGCGGATAAAGGCGGGGTTTTTCTGTGGAAGAAAGTTTTTTAGATTAGCCACTGAGAGAAGTCGCAAGGTCAAGTTCTAAGCTCAGAAGAGCCGTTTTTAAATTACTGCTGAATTATGGTATTTGTCTGTGTATAAAAGCTAAAGAGGCAGCTTTGCTTGCCCTCAGTTCGTGTTAAAACAAAAAAGTTGGTTTCTTAATTACGTTTTAACAACTCTATCTTCCTCGGCAGCGGGAATACGTTTCAGTGTGGTCTGGGCAGCAGCTCCGTATGCCAGCTAACATGTGCAGTAATTCATAAGGGAAACTAATCTTTTACGATAGCTTGTTTCCGATTTTTACATGACATCCTCACTGCTGATACGCATTATTTGTTCACTCCCCTTCCCGGGGATCTTTTTGCTTTTGAATGACATTGAGAGCTCCAAGCTGGCAGTGTAAGCAGCAAGTTAAGAATATTTTGTCTCTTATACTGCATTCTCTACATA